GATGGATGGATGGAGGTTTGGAAAGAGAGAACAGCTTCTGAATCCAAATCCTGCGGCAGGTTTTTAAGGCATGTTGTCTCTACAAACAAAAAATAATAATTTATCCGAGACAGAAACTGTAAAAGCAGAGAGATTTCCAGCTGTCCGATGGTCTTTGAACTACTCATGAGTGGAATTCTGTTGTGAAAATTAACTAAAACTAAGGTTAAAATCATCATAGAAGTCAGTTGCACCAGAAAATCATAATTCTGCGCTCTGTGTTGCAACTGAGAGGCCATTGTAAGTAGTAGAATATATGTATAGTATGTAAAATGACTATTATTTCCAGTGTGTGTATCCCCTGTGGACACTTGGAAAAGTGTTTTGCATGTTTATTCCATGTTATTCTTTATTTATGGCATCATAACTGTTGTACTGCATCAAGCCACGGTTGTGCCGTTTCCACGGAGGTGCAGAACTTTATGTTGCAGAGAAAAATGAGCCCACAGCGAGTAGAAGCTGCAGACGCTGCTCGGGGGTTCAGAGGGTTCAAGCTTTTTTTTTCCAAGCAAAAGTAGAAAACTATCAGCCGCCTTTTAATGTTGCAGAGCTGACTGGAGACCTGTTTCATACAAGTGGATGCAAAGTAAATACTGTTTTTAAACCAGTTACTCAGGTGAAAGAGAAGTAGGACATTTCACTCTCACATGTAAAAACAAACAAACAGCTCAGAATTGTGCTTGACCCGTGAACGAGTCACAGACGCATCTGCAATTTACGAGCAGCGATAATTTGTGAAAATGTGCCACTGTGACCGAAAACGGTGCAAATTTCTTTTGTGAAACCAGCCTGTGGGTTTTGTGTTTTTAAATTTGTGTGGATGTGGCTATTGTCTTATCAACAAAATATTTTACATAATCCGGCCGAACAAGACTGTTTGTTGTCTCGTGGTTTATTGAATTCGTTGCGTGACAGAAAGGATGCTTCAAACCAGAATCTGCATTGATAAAAACGGGGTTGTCCTTTTTTTATTCTCGAGCTCTTGTCAGGCAGCATAAGCGCCGACATTCTCCTCAAGTCGTTTCATTTTGCTGTGCAGAACGCCACAATCAGCATTCTGCAAAACCTACGGTATCATTTGACCAGCAGCCCGATTATATAACTCACCCAAAGGTCTGCATCGGCACAGCAGGACAAAAAAAAAAAACAACAGGAGAAAAGAAAAAAAAATTCTTTGCATATGAAACTGTGAGATGAGACTGCGCCGATCAATGTTGTATTATGAAGCCCAGCGAATCTGTTTGCACAATCGTTTGATGAATGATGCTGTCAGGCGGCTGTTTCGCAGCAGCAGCGAGGGTCCGGCCGAGGCTGTGCGTCCCGTCCGTTTGTCCCGAGCAAACAGGGGAGCTGTGTGCTGCTTGGCTGCCGCTCCGCTCGCCTTGTGTGTGTGTTTGTGTCCCTTTTTCTGAGAATTGAGAAGCAGAGACTCTGGCAAAATACCTTCCTGCCGTCTCTGGTGCCAGCGCAAGACGGCCCGCCGCCCACAAAGGGAGAGTTCTGTGTGTGATCGTGCATATGTGTGTGTGTGTGTGTGTTGTGTTGTGTTGTGTTGTGTTTGGCAGAGCGTCTGGTTGCCGGGGTGTTCTCAGGCTGTTTCCGAGGCCCGCTCTGCCAGCGCTGCGTGCATGCTCGTGTGTGTGCATGTGCGTAGGCTTCGGTGTGTGTGTGTGCGCGGCGGCTCTGCGGTGGGTCATGACTCAAAGGAAGGATTCAGAACACGCGGTTCTGAACTCAACAGAAGGCCCAAGGGACAAATACAACTCAGCACAGCACTTCTTCCTCTGTCGTTCTCCCTCACAATCCTTTCATCATCTCTTTTTCTTTTGCCTTTTGTGCCTGCCTCTCCGTCTCCTCACTGTGTGTGTGTGTGTGTGTGTGTGTGTGTGTGTGTGTGCACGCTAAACAAAGGGACGGTTTTACTGACGTGCCTCAAAACACATGATAAATAAAGCTGCTCCCTTCCCTTCCTGGTCACAGAGCAACTGTGGGGAGGTGCTGCGTATCCGCCGGGTGCTGATGAACTCGCCAGAGATCGTGTCCATCGGCCTGGTGTGGGACTCGGACCACTCGGACCTGGCAGAGGACGTCATCCACAGCCTGGGAACCTGCCTGCGACTGGGAGACGTAAGGGAACCATGCACATTATGCACTTGTGACGACACGTTAACTTATGCGTGAGCAGCCGAACCGACATAAATCGGCGCACGCGTTGCTCTGAATTTGCGTGCGAATGAGCCGGAGGGGCTACTAACTGTCGCTGTAAATTTGAGGCCTTAACAGTAGAAAAAGAGCAGAAATGGATCATTGCATTTACGGTGCCTACTGTGGCTCCTAAGGCGTGGTTCTTGGGATGGCAGCAGATTTAGATATTTCAACAAATATCAGTTGGATTGCTGTGAAATTTACTGCAGACGCTCGTGATTTACAGAGAACACGACCCGGTGATGCTCTGGCTTTCTCTGTGTTGCCACGAACACCAAGTCTTATTTAAAGCTGCAGCATTGGACGTCTACATTCAAACCAAATGAGCTCACACTATGCTGGTAAAGCCTACCCGTGGTACATACATCTGTCTGTATTTAACACTATACTAGAGGTTTAAATCTGGTTTCAAACAGCAGTGATGGTTTGTGCTGAAGAGGGGAACAGAGGGGGTGAAGCTACAGCTGCTGGGAGTAAAAACCTATGAGGTGTCCAAGAAAAGTTCCTGATGCTCCAGATAGAAAAGAAACTGCAGAGGAGGAATTACAGTTAAAGAAGAAAGTGATGAGGCATTAAGGTGTCCACAGTGTTTGTGTAGTACCTCTCTTTGCCAGAAGGTGGAGACAAACGATCAGCACTGCAGGTTTGAACATAAGCTCCTTGTTGGTGCAGCAGCATGTTCATGTATCTGAGCACAGCCAGGCTTTCTTGGTAATGTTTTTATTTAGGCGAGGGCCGAAGTTCACGGAAGATTGAGCCAAATGTGAACGTGTGGTGGTCGGACTGAGTTTCCATCTAGTTTCATTTTCTTCCTTATGTCTGGCAGCTGTTGTGTTTGTGTTAGTCGTTTGTGGTTGAACGAGAAAATGAGATATTTATTCGAGCTTTGATCTGATGCCGTCGTGTCTTAGTTTAGGTTTCAGGGAGGCAATACAATAAAATGTCTTGTTCTGTTTGGAAGAATAGTTAATGATTCTGTATTTCCTGCATTGCTGTGGATTGTCAAGGAAACAAGGAAGGAGGCGGATTAAAAAAAAAAACAGTGGGCTCTACATTTCTAAAAACACCAGTACATGTTGTAGCTTAAAAATGCAAAATATTCCAGGAAGATGTGGGTTGTTCTTCTCATAAACACCCACGAAACCCTATTTGAAGGCACCACAGCTTCTTGACTTATCGAAGTTCACCTCCTCAGAAATGCCATCATTTCAAGTTTACAGTGTCTAGAGTTAAAAGGGTTGCTGTAGTAGATTCACATGGAAGCCAAACCGCCTCAGAAATACGACTCCTTCTTCCTTAGACTGAACTATTCAACTCCATCCGACTGCTAACAAACTAACGACACCAGAAATGTAGCTGAACCTGAATTGGAGGTACTAATACTCAATACAAATAGCCATGTATTGTGTGTGTGTGTCCACGTACACAGTAATAAATACGATCACAAAACACAAATATGTGCATGCTCAGTCTGAAAAACAACAAATTACAGCCACACACGACACCCAGACCTCCATTTGTCTCACATGGAGCTTGGAGACGTTCTTCATTCATCTCCTGCTGCAGCTTTTACATTTTACACGCCACACACGCACACACACACACACACACACACGCACGCACACGCGATCACACACGTGTCCGACCCCTGATATTCCGTGTCATGACTGAGTAATGCTGATGCATTTTAATGCCACTGTAACGTCTCCGGCAGCATTCTGAAGTGATATCCATGAATAATGGATCAGCGAATATGAATATGTGTTATAGTGACTCAAGTCTTCTCCCTCTTTCCTATCTGCCGTCTTCAATCTTCCGTCTCCGCCGTGCTGCCGTGCCTCTTGTTTTCATCCCGGCTCTTGTGGTATGAAACTGGCTGTTAGATGCGAATCTGAGGCGCAGTCTATTGAATTTGCTGCTTCGGTTTAGCCGTTTAAAAGTGAATCCTCCCGTATCCCTGCTCATTGTCTTCTCAGATTAGATAAACGAGGCGCTCAAACTGTTCTGCAAACTTTGTTTTTCTCTTATATTAATTGAGTATTTGTGAGCTGGTCAGTGAGATGTCACCTTGGGATCTTGAGTTGTCATTGGAGCAGCGTTGAGAGCAGCAGGTGAAGACAGATTAGGTGGGCTTAAACTAGCAACGCTAAAAATCGCATTGTTCTCCATCGCATGTAGAAGCAGCTGCAGCAGGTGACCTTACTGAGACATCAATGTGAGATGTGTGCAGAGTTTGTGGAGAGCTGCAGTGTGTACGCAGGCACATTGACAAGCAAAGCCAGGAGTTTTGAAGGATTGCTGCATCTATACACTAGGTGAGCAAAAAAAACAAAAAAAAAACCGAGCCTGTATCCACATTAACTCCTCTGTCTCTACTGCACATCTCTCCCCTGCACCTCCTCCCTTCCTGTCTCCTCCCGCTCCCTCCCCTCTCTCCCTCTCTCTCCCTCTCTCTCTCTCTCCCTCCCTCTGCCTCTGTAGTTGTTCTACCGTGTGACAGAGGAGAGGGCTCGCCAGGCGGAGCTCTACTTGGTGGGCATGGTGTGCTACTACGGCAAGCACTACTCCACCTTCTTCTTCCAGACCAAGATACGCAAGTGGATGTACTTCGACGACGCCCACGTCAAAGAGGTGAGACACAGTTCGGCGCCGGCATGCGGCAGCACGAGGAGGATGCGCTGCGCGGCATCTGCTGCGTCTTCAGTGGTGCCTGTGAGAGCAGGACTGAGCAGAACGGCGCTGTGTGCTGCTCGGAGTGCTGCTCCGTCAGGGCTTTTTTGCAGTGGAGGCGGCTTGAGATTGATTATGTGCTGGAGGTCTGGTCCGTGATTCAATCTCGGCGTCACGTATGCGATTTGAGTTGTAGTTCCAGGAGGGATGAGAATTTGCCCGGACATGTGTGGATTTACATGCCCTTGACTCTTCTATTAGTCACACTTCACACTGGAGGTCGTATTAGATTATTGAGCGAATGACAAAGTGTGATAATGTGATATCAATAAGGGCACACAGCAGCACACAGTGTGTTTGACCTTCTGCTTTTGGTGGAATATGCGTAATGTTATATCTTAATCCGGATAGATTTACTTTCCCTCTGTGTGTGCCTGTATGTGTGTTAATGTGTGTGTTTGTGTGTGTGTCCCCCTGCTGCACCTCCAGATCGGCCCTAAGTGGAAGGACGTAGTGTCTCGCTGTATCAAAGGCCACTATCAGCCCCTGCTGCTGCTCTACGCTGACCCCCGTGGGACACCGGTGATACTGCAGGAGAGCCCCAACCCCTGTACCAGCTCCAACCCGCAGCTCGAGCTCCAGCACTGCAGCAGCAGCAGCAAGGCTGGTTACGACAGCGAAGACTCCGGTACAGCAAACATGATACTCTCTGCTACAGATGAGATCAGATCAGATTACTCTGCCTTTATCATCCGAGGGCCACGCAAGGTTGCGGCTTTAGAGCGCTGACCTTCAACCCTGTAATCCAACTTCTGCTTTTGTGCCCTGCAGAGCCTGAACTTATTTTTCCTGCTTTTGACTGTAAACATATGCAGATGCCGGATTAGCTGAAAGGTCGTCTCCGCGTGTCTTTCAGGTCGGGAGCCGTCCATATCCAGCGACACTCGCACCGACTCGTCAACGGACAGCTCGAGTCACCGCGCGTCACGCAGCCGGTCCCTCCACCAGTCGACGGGCAGCCACCTCTCCAGCGAGTCCCAGACCACGGTGGTCTGCAACTACGACATCGGCACACCGCCGCTCGGTGCCGACGCTGGAGGTGAGGCCGCCGGTCCGAAGTCACTCGCAAAGTAATGGTTCGAAAACACACGAGTGACTGCAGTGTTTTCAGAGAGGAAGCGCTAAACTGTGATACTTGTTGTTGGTACAATTAAGAGGTCAGTTTTCAAGTTTCAGTGGAAGCGAAGCCGCCGTGCTTCATCACTGCAGACTCTTCAGGTTATGTGCCTCGTTAGTGGTTGTTCTCACTGCTTTTCTTTTTTGCACTGCTGCCTACATAATTGCTCCCCGTGGGATAAATAAAAATGTTATTGGATTTTACTTTCCCTTCCTTTCCCCTCCCTTTTCTCCCACGTTCAGAGTCAGCAGTGGAGGGTCCTCCCCGCCCTCCCTCTCCCCCCCTGCAGGAGTACAAGGAGACGGCCGTCTTCCTCCTCTCCTCCCGCAGGCCTCTCACCTCCTCCTCCTCCTCCTCCAGGCCCCTGTCTTCCTCCTCTTCGTCGGGAGTCGGGGGCTGCGAGGGCGGGGCTGGGGGGCCCCACTGGGAGGATGAGAGCACCAGTAGCGAGAGCAAGTCCAGGTACTGCAGCACCGAAACACACCTGGAGTTTGTAAGCAAGTTTTATAAATTCATAATGGAGATAATTATTTGAGTAGCGCTCCTCTGCAGGTTTATCCACAGTGTGTGCAGCTCTGGTAGCAGCATTTAGATCATTTACTTAACAACAATAACGTAAAAGCATCTCATTACAATCCTGTTTGATTAAGCTGAAGAAAGTCCGTATCAGTAGATGTTCTGCAGTAAGATGTGATTTATTATTTTGTACTAAATTGTTAATGCAGATGGTTTTGTAGCTGCAGCTGGTTAAAGCTGCTAGTTTACCTACTTTATATACAGTTTGGCTCCCAGGAGTCACAAGACAAATCTGTGGGAGGGCTGCAGAAATGATTAATGGGCGAGATGGGTTTGTTTTTTTGTGAATTTTTGGATAATTTAACCTCTTAAGAACCTGAACATGAAACCTTAAGAGCTGTAGAGGGGAGATGTGTCCAGAACCAGAAGCAGATTTTTTTTTAAAAGCAGTTTAACAATGCAATGAGGTTTATAAGCTCGTGAACTTTTAATGCAAAACCCAAACCTGAATCGTAGCTGGTTACTGCAGGTGTCAGATAACCGGAGCAGAAGAAATTAAAAGTCTGGAAATTGCATTGAAGTTCACGTCTTGAGCGAAACGACAATTTGCTCCATTAAATTAATTTCCACCTCCTTCCTGGTATTTGCACAGAAGTGTTGGAGTCACGCTGCCACTTCTAAATATAATGAAGCAAAATAAAAAATTAGGAACTGCTAATATAAAGCAGGCTTCCTGGAGGCTTAGGTGGTCACATATTCCATTTACTGTCTGATAATATATGACCACAGCTAGCATGAAGGTTTTACGCTCTCTCTAGACGTGTTCATGTTTACCAGATGTTTTATATCTGATTCTGTAGCATCACATCATTTCCACAGATGTGAGTCATCGTTGCAGTAAATGGTTAAAGCCTCCTGACTGAACTGTAGTTGAATTGTCATGTGTTTTTTTTAAACTTTTTTGAATACCTTCTAAAATTAGTTGCTCTACTTTCTTTCCAGAAGGTTTTACTTACACCTTTTGAACAGTTTTTCCAAACGCAGAGCAGCTCGCAGACATGTCCGGAGTAACACCCTCCTCTCCTTCTGCCTCTAGTTCTTCTGGAGGCCGCTACAGGCCGACCTGGAGGCCCAGGAGAGAGGCCCTGAACATCGACAGCATCTTCACCCGACAGAAGGGCTCCTCTCTGGGCTACAGCACTCTGCCCGGCCCCCCTCTCCCCCCGGAGCCCCAGGACTCGCTCCCCTCGGCGGGCGCCGCTCCACAGCCGGGTCTGCAAGAGACGGAAGGGAGGGAGCTCGGGGAGTTGGAGGCGGGGTTTGGGCTGGTCGGGCAGCCCAGGTCTCTGGGCGGCGGGCGGACGATGGGTCCCCCTGCCCCTCCACCTCTGAGAGGGGTGGAGCACCAGCCACGTCTGATCCAGAGGATGGAGAGTGGCTACGAGAGCAGTGAGAGGAACAGCAGCAGCCCCGACAGGTAGGAAGCTCGCAAATAACAATTACTGTCTCCCGGCCTCGCCGTCCGTCGTTCATCATGTCTCGGTCACTCTTGTTTTTCTCTTCGGTTTCACTCCGTCAGCACGAAATGTGACAAGAACGAGAACGAATGATCCGAAAGTAACGTTTCGTAACAACAAACGTTCGTCTGCGTTGTCTGCGTGATCAACATCTTCTCTCTTGTTTTTTTTGTTTGTCTCATTTTCATGCCGTCTTCTTCTCCCTCTGGCTTTTCTCTCTGTTGATTTTCCTTCTCTGCAGGGAGGTTGGGCAACAGAAACGGGTGCTGATGTCAGGACCTTCATGGCGTTCGGTGCCCAAGTCGAAGAGCAGCAGTGCCATCCTGCAGGAGCTGCCTTCACCCAGCTGGACCGGCGGCGGCGGTGGCGGCGGCACCAACATAGGTGTGTACCCGTGCATGCGTCCGCTGTAACTTGCGTTGGGTTTGATTGATGATTTAATTTTCCAACCTTTTGTTGTTCCCAGGCTCAGGGCGCAGTGAGCTGGACGAGCTGCAGGAGGAGGTGGCGAGGAGAGCCCGCCAGCAGGAGCAGCAGAAGCGCAAGGAGGCGGAGCGCGAGGCGGCCATGGGATTCAACCCCAAACCCAGCAAATTCATGGACCTGGACCAGCTCCAACACCAGGGTATGGACGCAATGGGCATGAACAGGAAGAAACGGAAGGGTAGCGATGGGGAAAGTGCGTAGATGTTTTTGAGGAAAGCAGCGAGTTAAACAGAAAACATATTTTCTCACTTACCTCCAGCAGACTGTTAGTTTGGTTTTTATTTGCGCAAGTTTTAGGATTTAAACTTCTGAGCTCCAAGCAGTTTTCTGTATTTTTATTGTTTTCGTCACCTGTTTAATCACCGTCGGCTCATTTCTCACTGCGATATGAAGTCCTGCATCTCTACGGAAACGGCACGACTCAGAAATGTCGTCTCTGCAATATGAAACAGTTATAATGCCGTAAATCATAAAGAAGAAAAAATTAAGGTTAAATTTCTTATTTATTTTCTTAAAAAACAAAATGAAATCAGCACATACAACATTTTTAAAGGTGTTAGCAATACTGGAAAAATACTGGGTCTCTATATGCTGTAGATGCGTTAATTCTTGCATATTTAATTTGTTCTATACTCATCTTTTATCTGCATTTTATTACCTGCAGTTCAGACGAAAATGATCTAAATTACTATCATAAGACAGTTAGTTGCAGTTGAGCCACTGATGGCTTCACAGGTTTACCGATGAGTGCAGATTTTTTTTGTTTTTGGCATAATCTGATTAGAGAAAACGGTTTATTTTTGCCAAATTTTTTAATTCAGACATGTAGAATATTCCATATAAGACAGCGCATCACTGATGAGTAGTTCAAGGACTTTTGGAAAATTGAGAATCCAGCATTTCTTTCTGGTTTTTGTCTCAGATAAATGTCGTTATTTTGGCTTTTTATTTTAAAGACAACATGCTATTTTTGGAGCTCAGAGGGTTAAAGCGTCCGTTTCTCCAGAAGTTTCCAATGAAAACGGTTCATGCATCTGCGTAACTACTGATAAATGAGAAAATATGCTGTGAATGGAAATATGTGCGATTAGAAGGCGAAGGTCAAAAGACAACTGCATTTAAAGCTGCACCAACCTTGTGTGTACAGTAGAAACCCAGACTGCACAGACTCACTTATTATAAATTTAGATTTCAATCTGAATTCCAAAAGGCGTGCAAATGTTTGCCTTTGCATTTCCGAGGCTACTCTACTCTCCAGCATTTTGTCAGGGTGTTTTTTTTTTGTGTTGAAGTCCTGCCTGGTGCAGCTTTAAGGTCACATTATCACCTGTTGTGGAGTTTAGCAGTCACAGTGACTTGTATGTCCGTGCTTCTCGTCTGACCTCGTCTTTGTCCTCGTTCCCATCTGTTGGTCTGTCTCTCCATCTGTCTCTCTACGTTGGTTTTTTTTATTTGTCAATTTGTTCAGTGTGTTTTATGTCAGTGTGTTTGTGAGTGCAAGTGTGTGTGTGTGTGTCTCTAACAGTTCCAGCTGTGTTCAGTGTAGCTGAACAAAAAGCAGAAACCAAATCCCCGTCAGATTGGGTTTTTTTTCTTTTTTTACAAACATGGAAACTCCTGCGGGATGTTTACTGACCAGCGTCGAGTGGGGAAACTCTTTCTAGGTGACTTCCATTTAGACCCAGAGAATTCACAGTGTGTGTTTTAGCAAAAAAAAAATATGACGTGCGTGTTGTTCTGTCTTTTGTCGTTGTGTATTTATGTGTTTCTGTTTATACTCATAAACATGTGAACACAAAACCCCACATGTACACTTTGCATACAGTTACATGTATGTTCTTGTGTGTCCTCGTGTGAGTGTGAGATCGTGTGTTTCAGAGCTTGACACCCGAGACTTGGACTCGAGTCGTACTTTGACAGGAGCTGCACTAGTTTTCCTCTCCCTGTGAAGTCAGTGACAATACGACCTGTGACAAGAGTCGTGTCTCATCTCGTGTGGTTCTGGAGGAGCTGTGGAGTCATCAAGTGACATCCTCAGTTTAGTGCAGATTTTTAGAACAAACCGGGGGCGTAGACTTGGGAAGACGGGCCTTCGTAGAAAGCGTAGAATCAGGTGTTTTTGGAGCCTGATGGGGACGCTAGCAGCATAGCTCTATGGATAACAATGTTGGTTTGCAAGTCCAGCATTTTGATGAATTATCTCAATAACTTTCGGATGGATTGTCCTTGAATTTCCCAAATACATTGATGATCCCCAGAGGATGAACCCTACTGACAATACCTTGACATTAGCCTCAGCTGATCTCTGTGTTTGCAGTGTAAGCACACACAAAATTAACATTTAGCTCAAAGCGCTGCTTAAAGCTGAGGTAGGCGCTACTGTTTCGGGGGCATAGCCTTTCAGCGTTTTGTAATCCAAGTGGTTTGAAACTAGACTTCTGCGCCTCCTCTTGGCTCCGGTTTCGGGATCCGACTGGAGGCTTCGGTCAAACGCAGAAGCTTTTCCACCCAGATCAGATGAGGGAGTACAGAGAAGTCCTCAGCGGGAAGCGTTGGACGTGGCGGCTGAGCGGACGAACAGAGGAGTTCCACTCAGGAGAGCAGCGTTTGAAAGTTGACTTTTTAGCTCGACTATTTTTGCACGTTTTGAAGCTCGTGATCGGTTAAATGGAGGGAAGAGATGCAGGAAGAGGGCTGTAGTCTGAAATCCTGGCCTTTCCTTTGCCTTTTTCTAGACTTTTACTTGCTGTGCACTCTTTCAAAGCCCCTTGGATGACTTGTTTATTCTGTCAAGTCCACAAACTCCATCGGTTTTCAGCCCTAAATCACTTTGCTCTTAACTTGCTTTCAATGAGAGCTTACTTACTTTAGACTTACTTAGTCCGATATTTCCAACCAGCACTTGTGTGGCCACTCACACTCTTGAGCTACTCATGCTTGGACAATCTCCACAGATCAGACTGTTAGAACTATATTTGCATATTGCGTGTTGACTTGTGCAGACTTGTGATTGGACTCGGCCGAAATGACTTCAGACTTGACGTAATTGGCTCTAAAAGCAGCTCCCCAAAATGTTCCCGTACGAATGTCTGTGTGTGTTTTCATCCAAAAATGAGATTCCACTGTGAGGAAATCTGTGTCTGTGTGAGCGCGAGTTTTGTCCAAACTGCAGGTGCGCAGGTTTTCCCCTCCAACTCAGCACTAACTAAATCTATATCAGGGATTATTATGTCGTGTCCTGTCTGTCCTACTGTGTGTGCTTCAGTGTGTTCAGCCTCATGTACCTGACACACACACACACACAAACACACACACACACCCCTGTGAGCACACTCAACCTTGATGAAGTGAAAGGACGACTTGTGAACGAACAGATGGCATCACTATCGGTGCGATTATGTAACAGAATTTAGGTTCCCACATCCATATCGATGGATTCGGGCGGACTCCGAACAATCTGCCTCAGTGTTTTTAGAGGACGTTACAGCCAACAATAACAACAACAGAGCCGCCATCAGCCTCCCCTCTATTCCGCTTCTATCAATCAAAAGTCTGTAAACTCGCGCCAAGACGGGCGATGGCTGCTCTTTTGTTGTCCTCTAATGCATCTTTTTTTTATAACCAACTAACACCGTTCAGGGTGCGTTCACAAGGCTACACACTAAGGAAAGCTCTGTCTGAAGGAAATCTTTTGACTTTTTTTCTTCCCCCCCTGTCTGGTGTCTGTGGCTTCATGAACGTAGCCTCAGTTTTGCTCCTCATCTATCTAATGTTGACTTTTTTGACTCACTAACTACAGTCCCAGTTTACATATTGATGCATTGACGATAGAGTTGTGAAGTGGGAAGAGACGCTGGAAGGAAAAGTTTTCTCGAATGATGCCCTTAATGTCGTGAGAGTCTCCTTGGAGACAATACAACTGCCAGCGTTGGCACAAGTGGAAATCACAGGATAATTGTAAAAAAGTATAAAAAATAAAAGTCGCAAACTCTGACTCAACAATATCTGCAATACAACAATATTAAAGTGCATTAAACTGATCAGGGGTTCGCTTTTTCGCTGATGACCTTAAACTCTTCATTCGTAAAAGCATGAAAATGCCGTTCCCTCTGTCAGACTCATTTTCGGGATTCGTTTTGTTTGTGAGAAAGCCTCCTCTTTCTGCCAGTTTGATACAGCAGAAAAGGCTCTGATACCCAGCAAATCCGGCGAACGCGGAGCTGTAATTGGGAACAACATACTGCACCACAGATGCTAAATTCATCTGAAACGAGCCAGAATCTGGACATCAACCGATCGAAGGCGTTTGATCAGGCGTCTACAAAGCACAATAGACAGCTCAGACAACAACATTTTAGGCTCGATAATTAGTTGTTTCTCACCGAAAATGCACCTGAGGAGGTGTCTGTGTGCGTTTGATGCTCACGCGCTTGAATCTTGGCTATTTTTTGCACTGATTTAACCAATTCTTTGAAGTTAAGTTGAGGCTTAGTCGATGCAGAAAAATTGAAAGAACGCCCAAAAACAAATCGGCCCACTTTGCAACTCTATATATCCATGTGTAAAATACACATTTACCTCCAGTAGAGGACGTAATGCATGCCGGCCCCCCTCATAACCACTCCTTCTGCTCTGCTTCTCTTCTCTCCTCTTGTCTCACCTGTTCTTTCATTTTGTCCTAATCTGTTCCTGTCATTCCTTCCCGTGTTTTCTTTCCGTTCCCGTCACTCCTCCTCCTCCTTCTCGCTGCCACTCTGTCGTTATATCTTTTTCTGTCTTTTTCTCCTTTTTTATCTCCCGCTCTGTTGTTAACATCCTCAGCTGTGCTCAGACCCCTGCATGAGGCTAACGCTCATAGCGGATTGGCTGTAGCTGCGTGCATGAGGAGCACTGGGGGCCCAATCAAACGCAGGCAGGAACAAGAAATGGAACGGGAGACAGGAAGCGCCCGCCCACAGGGGCCTCGCAGGTACCACCACTGTCCCCCTCTGTGTGTCCACGGCGGTGCCTGTCTCGAAACCACCTCCTCCCTTCACCTCCCCTCCTCCCTTCACTTGGTGTGTGTCCTCAGCTCGAGCCGTCCTCAAACCCACCTCAGGACTCCTCTGTGTGTGTCCTCTGGGTGCTGGCTGTCTTAAAACGCCTCAGCACCCTCATATGTGTGTGTCTTCAGCTCTGGCTGGCCAAAACTCCCAGAACCCCCTTGTTTTTTTTTTTTGTAACCTCCTCCTCCCCAACCCCTCCTCCCTCCGAGCACTGCACTCTTCACATCCTGCTGTATGTGTGTTTGTGTGTCTGGATGTGTGTGTTTTCAAAGCGCACACCCTTGACTATATACAGTCGCTCCTTATCCCCTTTGTGTTTGTGTGTTTGTTGCAATGCAGTAAAAAAAAAAAAAAAAAACCTGCTTTGCTGGGCTCCGTGTCGCCATCGAGAATAAAAAAAGAGAGAGGCAGAGTTGCTCTCTGCTTTTCCGTGCTTCACTGCTTCCCTTCATTGTTGTTGTGCTGCTCTTTGTAGCTGTGTGCTGCCAAGGCTTCCCTCTGCTCTTTGTGTGCTGCTGATCCGTCCTTCTGTGTGCTGGAAAGCTGCAGTCCGTCGCCGTGTTTCCGTCCTGTGTGCGGCTGTGCGATTGCAGTCACAGATGCTGCGCCGTGGCTTGTCTTCTTGCTCTTTGCTGCTGTGTTTGTGTGTTACAGTAAGTCGGCGTGTTTCCCCTCTGATGTGTTCGTTTTGCTGTGCGAGGAGGGGAAAGGGAGCTTCAGCAGTCAGCCAAGGAGTGTCACAGTTAATATTTAAAACAAGAGAGGTTTTAGAATATGAGGTAATGGCCTTTAATATATTTAAAATAATGATTATATAATATTAGCCAGACTTGTGAGGTCATATAATGGCGTCTAAGCACCTCATTAGGAACCACTGATAAGAAGTATTCAGAAAGTGCACTTTTAGGAGGATTCAAAAAATTATATAATCATACCTTTTAGAGCTGAAAGGATTAGTCGATTAATTGATTTAGCCATTTGGCTGTTTTGACAATTAATCGTTGGAACCATTTTTCAAGCAGAACTTGCAGCCGTTCCCTTCGTCCAACTTCTTTGTTATGAGAATTTGTTCTTCACCTTCTTGTAACCCAAAGATCAACTTTGGCTAAATTAAATTCTGACATTCTCTCATATTTTCTGGGATTTTATACAGCAAAAGATTCACTGATCAAATAATAAACCAAATGCATAGATCATAGTGATGTCAAATATGAATAAAATCAGAAAAATTGCGACACAGAACAAAGATTTTTTTTTTAATAACAGCGATTATATGATAATAATTGTAAAGGTTAAGTCTCCTGTGTGGAGTAGAGCCATTATCAGGATCTTATCTCGTTTAATCCTCTAAACCCTCGATGCAGTTTCTCATTTTTCACTCCAGTATAAAGTCTTGTACCTCTATAGAGCCACAACTACAAGTAGACAGAACTCCAAAAGGTCCTCTGTGCAGTGTGACAGAAGTCTTAAAAACTCATTAGTTATTATTTTAAATGTGAAAAAAACTAAGTAAAAGATTTCTTCAATACCCCCACAAGTGCTACCAATAATGTAAAAAGTCACGGCTCTACATGCTTAAGATTATTTCACTATTTACATTTTTAATTTGCTTCCAGACTCGTCTCCAACCTGCTCTGTGTAAACACAGCCTGCAGTTCAACCTAGTTCAACCAAAAACTCTATGAATTTTTGTTGTGAGACTGTTTATCACAATTGGGTTACTGATGGCTTTCTGATTGTGCCAAGGAGTGCAGAATTTTTTGATTTTTACAGAATCTGATTAAAACGAACAGTTTTTGAAAAATGTTTAAATAAATGGTTTTAATTAAATATCGCAATTTTAGGCTGGGATTTGGTGACGTTTACGGCAAATCACAGATAAAAATGTAATTTCTGTTTTGTCAGTTTTGGTGATTAAAAAAATAAAAAATAGCTTTCTCTTGTAACCCACTGTCAGATGTTGGGGTTCAGAGGGTTAAAGACCTCTAAAGGTCATTGAAGACATTCTTAGATCTTGTCAGGAGTCTTTCTGCTGCACTGAACCATCAGAACTTCATCAGACGTGCTATCTTAGTCGTGTTAATATTGATTTAGCCTCATTAGAACTCAGCTCAAACTGGAGGAAAACTTTAAAAACAACAACAACAACAACAATAATAATAAACTGTAAATCCGAGCTGTTAACAGCGGGAGTGAAGGGAAAAGAGGAGGTGAAGGTAAAGCTGGGCGCTCAGCCTCTTTTATTACCTTCCTCCTCTCCTCTATTGATCAACATAAGCCTCTGATTTATAGCTCGCTGCTGCAAAGCCTGCTGGGTAATTACTAAGGCTGAGAAGAGACAGGAGAGTTAATGTGGGGGATGGGGGCTGGCACCCACATAGACACATGTGTCCGAGCACAGAAAAATAGACGCACACAAATTTACAGACGTGCTGTTCACACGTACCAACACACACACACACACACACACACACACACACACACACACACGCAGGCCGCTACACTGATGGAGTGCGGAGCGTGTAGCATGTCTCTGCAGAGAGGACCCACTAATGTTCAACATACATCATATCCTCCACATATCAATGTATGTAAATCAATAAAGTGATGTAGTGGCCCGCTGAGGCCGTATGACTCTTATGTCGTGGAGAGCCACATTCGTTTTTCGGCGCTGATATACTGCAGCCCGGCGCTCGAATGCAGCGAAGGAAAAATCTGATTAAAGTCAAATCTGCGGTTGTTTGAGATGGAAGATCAGACAGTTAAGTTTGTGATCCGTCACTCACTGGAGCTGAGCTTGTGCCTGACTCATCAACAGCATGGCCGTGAAACCCCGAACGCAGAGTGATGCTCGCACAAGGCTGCATCATCGCGTGTCTGCGGCTGTTTGTTGCGTGCGAGCTCGTGCGTGTTGGTACGAGTGTATCTGCTTGTTTATCCCGGTGTGCTGTTGTGACCTTCCCTCTATGCAGTAACTCACCTGACGTCAGAGCAGCTCTGTTTTTTGTTGTTTTTTTTTTTTTTTGTTCCTGCTGCTGCTGCCGGCTGACTGACACCCTCCCTCCCCACCCTACCTCCTCCTCTTGTGTCCTCCAGTGAACAGCCTGGCCCGGTCCAAGTACTGCTGACGCCCAATCAGGAGGAGGAGGAAGAGGACCAGGCGACGCCCAGCCAGGACGCTGCTCTGGGCCAGGACCCGCCCCCTCCGCCCTACCGACCCGCTCCCCCGCGACCCCCGCTCACCCTCAGCATCCCTCACCCCTGCGCCCCCTCTTCCGGCCGAGGGGAGGCGGCGGCGGCGGAGGCGGAGGACGGAGGCGGGAGGAGAGGAGGGGAGGGAGGCGAGGACGGGAGGGAAGGGACGGGGGTGAGGCTGTGCGAGCTGCTGCAGGCCGGTGGGGTGAGCGTCAGGCCTCTGGGGAAGCACTTAGCCATCTCTCTGCCCTCGCTTCCTCTGCGTCTCTGGGATACACACAGCGCCACGCACACCTCGCACTCCGCACACCTCCCACCCACGCACACACACCCTCCCCCTCCACCTCCCCCGCCTCCCCCGTCTCCCCCCTTGGAAGGTGAGAGGAGGCCTCCTCCCGTCACGCCACTCTGGCAGCCGCCCCGGCCCCATTCCCCCACCGCCGCCGCCACTCAGCACTGGCCGAGGCACGAAGCCGCGGCCTCGGACGGCGCCACTCGTCACTGGTCCTCCTGGAGTTTGGACCGCCCCGACGCCGTGGTGACGCCGTATGACACGCCCCCCGACCGCTGCGTTCCCATCAGGCCTCCGATGCCCAGCAGTCAGAACTACAGCTACAGTTGCCAGTCCTCTCCGGGGCACTACGGCTCCCAGCATGCCCCGGGGCGGCACAGCGATCCCTGCTGCGAGCGCGAAGAGGCCGAGCTGTCTGAACTCGACTCCCTTTACCAGGCCAGTCTGCTGGCTGGGAAAACAGGTACACACGAGACACGGAGTGTAACACAAAGCTCAGAAAGGTTCCCATTCGCCCGACAACAGCCCAGCAACACACACCAACAGTTTGTAATTGAATTGGAAAGACGGCGCGTAACGATTAGCCGCTCAATCGATTAATCAATGGTGCGAATGTTTGTCATCAACAATTTTCGCAATCAATTTATCGTGTAGGTCGTTTATTAAGCAAAACAGAAAAAAAACTGCAGACAGCGTCTTTGGGAAGAGAAAATCAAATTAATTTACAGTCATGAGGTTCGATTACTGCGAGAGGCAAAGTGGTGAATGTCCAAAGTCACATCTCAGACGCTCGCTGTTAGAAACAACCGATTCCATACCTTCGTGCTGAACTCTAAGCGGGTTAACAGACTTAAACTCTCAGCGCTCTGTAGTTTAAAAGCCTCGATGGACCAGGTTTTAGCTCCGAAAACATGTTGCTCTGTTAAGTTTAATGGGTAGTTCGTCATTAACCGTTTGTGTAAAAGTGGGTTAATTTACTGTAACTAACTGCACGAGGCTTTACTACAGAGGTTAACGTCAGCTGTGTGCAGATAGATGCAGAACTTTCTCATGCAGGTTATTGGTTTTTTTTTTTCCTAAATCAACATCATCGGTGATTTTTCTTTCACTCCTGTCCTTGAACTCTCTGCGTGCCGTCGCATTACTCAACTAACTCACAAAACTTTATTCACTTCTTGCCAAAAACCTCCAAAGATTAATAACAGGAAACGGTTTATAATGTGACAGTAGATGAATATTAATTAATCGAAACATCCTCGTGTGTGTTGCTTCAGTGACGGGCCGGAGCAGAACTAAATCATGCCTATGTTTTAGGCTACATACATGACGAACGCCTCTAACTTGTGCCGTCTCCACGTCTGTGTGCTTTCAGGCTGCAGCCCATCAGAGAGGCTCATATCCCGGGTGGGAGGGCAGGCTCGCTCCAAGACCCCCAACGCAGACATGGAGAGGAGCGTGTACGGGGCCGACTGCACCAGCACCCCCACCTACCTCAACAAGGCAACGCCTCCCATAGCCTTTTTCTAGCAGATATCCCCTCACGTGTTCGTAGGCCGTCGCTCGGATCCATTTGCCAGCGTCTCACAGACATTTTCTCCCTCCGCAGCCAATGACGTTGCGGGATCTGCGTTTCGGGGCGGAGCCTGATGATGGGGAGAACCTGAGGCGAATTGGACGCAGCCTGAGCGGCACGGTGGTGACCTCGCGTCGCAGCCGCCTGACTGCAACCCGCAGCTTCGTGAGTGTGACTTCCTGTGCTCTGCCGCCTCCTTGTGGCCGTGCTGATGAACTGCACCTGCCTGGTTGTCCCGCATTTTACGCATTGCTTCTCCCTGTGCTCTTCTCCCCCCCTGCTGTTTGTCTCGTTTCTTCCTTTTGTCCTGCTTTTCTGTTTCCGGTCTGTCCTCCGACTCTCCCTCTCTGCGTCTTCTCTTTCTCTTCTGTCTCTCTCGAAGGTGAAGCAGGCTGATGTCAGTGCCTCTCCTTGCTTACTTCCTCTCTTCTGAGTCCCTGTTGCTATTCCACCACTATCATCTCCTCCATCCTCTTCATCACCAACACCTTCTCATCACCACCTCCCTCCACCGCTTCACAGGTAAACACTGCGCTGAGCTCCAACGAAGTTTTCTTTGAGGGAAAATGCTGCTTGTCTGCACTTACTGGACTTGTGATTGCGCTGCTTTCTGTGCCAGATAAGAGCGTTTGACGGAAAATTACAAATCAGATCAGAATCTCAAAGTCCTTTCTATGTATTTCATTAATTTTTCTCATCTGGCACAAAAGTAGGCGAAGCTTTAATTTGCACAAAGCTGCGTCCTGGGCACTGATTTATAACGACTGTGACGAGCCAACGGGGATTTTCACTCCTCAGCAGATCTGTCATGTGTCAAACTTATTTCAAACTTAATTGGGGAAACTTCTAAAATTCTATATATGACCAACGTGACAACCAAATCAAAGAAATCAGTGTGTTGCATAAGTCACTGCCCAGACTTTGTCCCGTATTTAACAAAACAGCATTTTTTTGTCATTAACAGTGTCTCCCCAGTACTAATCGTATTTTTAATGGTGCTGAGAATATCTCCTTCTTTTTAATTGTGTACCTACTGCAAAAAACCTGTACATTTTATACATATTAATAGTTATTTTTATTGTGTAATGTGTAGCTGCAGTATAAAAACAACAAATGTTAAATAAATCCATAAAATCCACCAGTAGCTGTTACCCTGGGCCTTGTCCTACAATTAAAAACACTTTAAAAATATGTTAAGAGACTTTTTTTTGCCACTTTTACCCAAAAAGCAATAAAAAAATGTTCTTCTCTGTTAATTAAAGATGTAATAACCGTCATAACTCTTAATTTAAGGCGTCCATTATTTAAAAAAAAACACCTCTTTTTTAAATTAACCTGTTTATCTTTAACCTTTTTCTTTAACATAATGAAGTAAAAAGGATTTATTTCCTCAAACAATCTGTTCCAATTCATTCTCATACGTTCTCTGTTAACATTACAAACTGACACTAAAAGCACATAAACAGAAATACGTTTGTGAATCAGTTTCTGCAGTTTATATAAAAACACAACTAACAGTCGTTAACGCGATCGCAAATGAGCTACGAACGTCTGATGCTTTGGCAGGAAAACTACCGACTCGTCTCTTTTGTTTGCGTTATCTAAGGCCTCTTTCCTTTTTTTTTAAAACTCAGAATGTGGCAAATAGTCTGACAAGCAGAAGTGTCAGCTCAGGTTTTTACACTCCTTCAGCTGCACGGTGTAAGAAATCACACCTCACAGTGGGTGCTGAGGCTAATGCATTCTTACAGGAGGCTGTTGTGCGCGCCACATACTAATTCTCTCCAGCGGATACTCTTCTAAACGTCTATTGTGAGTGATATTTTCTAAACAACAACTTGGAGCCGCTAACTGCTGGTGTGATGAATGCACTTAAACGTGATGTCTTCAGCTCTCAGGATGAAAAACTCTGATGTTTTTCAGAACAGATGTGTCAAGTTGACTCTTTTTATTTGACAAGTCGAGTATTTCTCCGATCAGAACTTGAAATTAACATTCGTGAAGACGACTGAACTGCTGGCAGCTGAATAAAACAAAAAAACATCAACAAGTCAGCACATTAATAGGAGGTGATGAGCAAATGTTAGAGATTCCCTGATACTGTATTCCCATCTGATTCAAGTATCTGCTGATTCGACCAAAATTGTTTTCCTATTTCAAGTTGTAGTTTAACTTAAAGCCTTGTGAGGCTAAAGGGTCGCCATGACAAAGACTTCTGTGATGCTCCATGACCTCCAGCTGATTGGAACTCGTTGGAATCGACTCGGGAAGCGTTCCTACTGAACATAACAGAGCCGCCGTTGCAGCCAGCGTTAAACAGCAACATTAGCTCAGGTCAACGGTCGTCTGCGCTTCGTTTGTGTTCTAAGTTAATAGATTATAGATTAATAACATTTATAAAGAATTCAACGCTTGCATCCCGAGTGTCCTGCCACAACGTGTGCTCTGCCGACAACACCTCTACGACAGCAGATGTAAACAAAGGATCAAACTTTGGTGTGTGCCGATACCAGTCACTTAACTGGTTGACTGGGCCCAATCCTGATTTCTGAGACATCCCTAGCAGGTACAGTACACAGATGTATTGGATTGTTTTGCTTCCATCGACTGTTCTCCCAGTTCTGATCGTTCTTTTAGAAGTACACTTCACAAACTAATTAGCGACTTGCTGTGAAGTCTCGCCAGCTCTGCTGCATGTGGTGCCGACAGGGCCGAGAGTGTTATCGTGTGGCGATGACTCACAGAACACCTCGACCTCTCGTTCTGCGGTCGGACGAATCGAGGAAGGTGCTTCGCCGCTCCAGTTCGGCGTTTAGGTTTTTAGTTTTTTAACCTCTTCAGACCCGGCCTCTTGTTTAAGATGCATTTGTTAAAAGAGAATAAAAAATAAATAAATATTAAGAAAATAAAAAAACATGTTAAAAATATATTCAAAATATGAAAATAAAAATAAATTAA